TTAGTCCTCCTCATTGTCCTGAATTCACAATTATACATCAGAGATGAACTTTATTTTTTAAAGATTTATTTATTTATTTATTTATTTATTTATTTATTTATTTTTAATATTTTTTAAATTATTATTTTTATTGGAAAGGCATACAGGTATACAGATATACAGAGAGGAGAGACAGAGAGGAAGATCTTCCATCCGATGATTCACTCCCCAAGTGAGCGCAACGGCCAATGCTATGCCGGTCTCCCATGTGAGTGCAGGGTCCCAAAGCCTTGGGCTGTCCTCGACTGCTTTCCCAGGCCACAGGCAGGGAGCTGGATGGGAAGTGGGGCTGCCGGGATAGAACCAGCGCCCATATGGGATCCCGGGCGTGCAAGGCGAGGACCTTAACCACTTGCGCCACCGCGCCGGGCCTGATTTATTTTTTATTGGAAAGGCAGATACGCAGAGAGGAGAGACAGAGGAAGATCCTTCGTCTGATGGTTCATTTGCCAAGTGGCTACGATGGCTGGAGCTGAGCCAATCCGAAGCCAGGAGACTCCTCCGGGACTCCCACGTGGGTGCAGGGTCCCAAGGCTTTGGGCTGACCTCAACTGCATTCCCAGGTCACAGGCACTGAGCTGGATGTGAAGCAGGGGCCTCTGGGATTAGAACTGGCGCCCATATAGTATCCCGGCACTTTCAAGGTGAGGACTTTAACTGCTACACTATAGTGCCGGGCCCCAGAGATGAACTTTCAATAGTTACCATGCCATTATTATTGTTTTTTATTCTGTGGTACTGTAGTATTTTTCTGATTCTATTTTAGCATCTTGTTGACTAATATGATAAGACAGGGAAGCAATATTCTGTAAAAATTCTGTATTTTACTTAGAAGTAGGGAAATTGATTCTCCTCAATAGAGAGTCTTTAAAGAGTTTGAATGTTCGTCCAGAATGGATTAACTTTAAAAACTTGATAATCATTGCTAAATGAAATACAATTTACTTTACTTGGTTTTGAAAATTGATTGACATTCTGTACTAAGCTTTGACTACACAGAGAGGTGACGTGACATACATAAACGGGTTTTAGAACTTTCCTGAAAATTGCTTCCCTGTCTTATATTAGTCAACAAGATGCTCCACTTGTGATCCAACTCCCTTCTCATGGCATGCAGGATGGCTCAAAGCCTTGGCGCCAGGCACCTATTTGGGAGAAATGAAGGAATCTTCTGGCCCCTGGCTTTGAATCAGGTCTGCTCTGGCCTTTTAGGCAATTTAGCGAGTGAACCAGCAGATGGAAGAATTTTCTCTATATAACTCTGCCTTTAAAAAAACTTTTAAAACAAGTATTTTGCCTTTTAATTCTATTTTTTATGAACTTTTTTTGAAGCTCCCTTTAATTTGTATGCTGTGTGTTGTCAATTCTGTTACTGAACGTGTATAAGACAAAAATAATACTCTTGGGCTCAGTAAGAGATTATGTACAAGTATATTCATAATAACATTTTTGTGGTAACCCTAAACTGTATATAGCATTTACTATGACTAATAAACTGCTATATACAATGAAACCCTATCAGTACAAATAAAGAAATCATGTATGACACTGTGTTTGAATATTATTGCTACAGTTTTGCTTTGATATTTGTATTAATTTCAAAAATGCCAAAATATTTTGATAATAAGCATCATGAAATAGTTTCCTCTTGGGGTGGAAATAATATTGAAGGGAATTTGAGACAGCTTATTTTAATTCTTTCTAAAGATTTGTTTAGTTAATTGAAGTCGTCATGGTTACAGAAAAAGAGAGATGGCCAGGACTGAACCAGGTCAGAGTTAGGACCCAGGGGCTGCTTCCAGTTCTGCCACATTGGTGACTTGGCCATCTTGGACTGCTTTCCCAGGCCATTGGCACAAAGCTGATCAAAAGTGGACTTGCCAGCACCTGTTACTGCTTTATTTCTGCTCTGCCTTAATAGTTACTCGTTTTAAGATATTAGGCACCTTTTTGAATTACTTATTTATCTATTTAGTACTTGAAAAGTAATGAAAGAGTGATCTTGCATCTGTTGGTTCATTCCTTAAATGTCCACCAGAGCTGGGCCAGGTTGAACCCAGTAATCTGGAACTTCATCTGGTTTCCCACTTGGTTGGCAGGAACCCAGATTCTTGAGCTCTGTCCTTCTGGATGCCAGAGTATACGTTAGTGGAAGGCTTGCGTGGAAGCAGGTGAGGGACTTGAATCCTGGCACTGTGTCAAGCCATGTGGGCACACCACGAGATACCTTAAATGCTGCCCCAACACCATTTTTTCTTCTGATTCTTGAGAGTTTTATACATGCATCTTGATTATGGCTGAATAGTATGGGAATACAGGGGTAGTTTAAAAAGTGCATGGGAAATATCCTTTAAAAATCCACACATGAACTTCAGAGACTTTTTTTTTGTGCCAGGTTGAGGTTTTAATTTTATTTCACACGACATTTTTCCAGTATCTTGTGTGCATCAGGGCTGGCATTCTGGCCCGGCATTCTGGCCCGGCATGCAAAGCTGCCATCTGTGATGCCATCATCCTTGTGTCCCACCTGCCCCGCTTCCTGTTTAGCTCCTTGCTAGTGGTGTGGGAAGATGGCAGGCTGTGACCCAGATGTTTGAGTCCCTGCCACCTGTGGGAGGTGCATGTGGAGCTGGAGGAGCCTGGGTTTGGCCTGGTCCAGTTGCAACTGTTGCAGCACTCTGCAGGGTAAGCAGTGGTGGACGTTCCTCATTCATTCGCTTTCTCCTTCAGCTGCTGCTCCCTCTGTAACTGCCACTCGTGTAAATGAATAAGTCCTTTAAAGATTCATCAAGGCATAGTACTTGGCAATTACAATTTTGAATTCTAAACAAAATTGTTTATGGATTTCTTCTTACTTTCCTTCCCTGCATGCACTTGAGAAAAATTCAGAGCAGTTCTTTCTCCCTGACCAGGATCACATTACATTTGTTTCACAAGTTGGGAAGTCTTAGAATATACTGCTGTATCATTAAAGGGGAAAAAACCAAAACCTGTGATACTTAAAGCATTTTTGTATTTCCTATAAGTTGTTATAATTTTCCTGATTAAACACTGATTCCTCAAATTAGTATTTATTCATGTACAGATCATTTACCTATATAGATTTTGCAATAATGGCTGATATTAAAAAGTATCTTTTGTTGGCTATCTTCAAATTTTTATTAATTTTTGAATAGTCTCATTTTTTTTTAAGAGTGACAGGCCCAATGCAATGGCTCAGTAGCTGAGTCCTCGCCTTGCAAGCACCAGGATCCTATATGGGTGTTGGTTATCCTGGCTGCTCTGCTTTCCCTCCTGCGCCCTGCTTGTAGCCTGGGAAACAAGTAGAGCATGGCCCAGAACCTGAGACCCTCCCTGCACCCACGTGGGAGATCCAGAAGAAGCTCCTGGCTCGGCTCTGGCCATTGTGAATACTTGGGGAGTGAACTAGCAAAGGGAAGATCTGTCTGTCTTCCCTCTCTGTAAAGCTACCTTTCCAAGAAAAAACATACAAGTGCCAGAGAGATAAAGGGAGAAAGATGTTCTATCTACTGATTCATTCTCCCAAATGGCCACAACAGCCTGAGCCTCAGCCAGGGTCCTGGAGCTGCAGCTGAGGTGCGGGCCATCTTCCACCAATTCTTTCATGTGCACTACTGGAGCTGGATTGGAAGGGAAGCAGCATGGACTTGAACCTGGCTTCTGATGGGGGACGCCATTGTCTTGGGTGGTGGCTTACTCTGTACCACCACACCAGCCCTTTGGTTTTCATATCATTTGTAAGAAAAAGAAAATTGTCTTCAATAATATTTTGCTAAGTTTGGCTTTAACTAAGACTAACCATTACTGAAGCCTTTCCTTGTTATATGCTTAGTTGAAACATCTTTAGTATTTAAAAAACATTTATATCTATATATACATTAGTAATGGTTTAGTTGTTTCAAAGTTATAGTGATAGAATTTTCCGTCTGCTGGGTTCAGTTTCTAGTTTGACAAAATGCCTGAAATTCTGTCTGAGACTCCAAAGCACTTCACTTATCATCCTGTAGGTTTTCTAGGCATGTGTTAGCTGGATCAAAAGTGGAGCAGGCAGGCCTTGAACCTTCACTTCCATTCAGTGGCTTATTAACCCAAAGTTAAATATTGTTGGCCTCAGGAAGTTTTTATTTCCATTTGCTATGGAATTGTGTCATATATCCTTCTGAGATTGAATACTCTCACTGCTTTTTTTTTTACTTTATTAATAAAGTCCATTGATTACCTAGTATTGGTCTTTTTTTTGTTTCTGAAGTTAAAAAGAAATCATTACATATGGCATATATTCTACTAGTGTATGAGGTTTTGATTGATTGTTTTATTAGATTTATTTATTTTAGTTGAAAGTCAGGGTTACGAGGAGAGATACACACACACTCTCAGGTCTTCCATCTGCTGGTTTACTCCAGAGGTGGTTATAGTAGGCAGTAGTGCCTGGCCAAGAGCTTCTTTGCTGGTCCCCAAGTAAGTAGCACGGCCCCACATACTTGGGCTGCTGCTGCTTTTCCCGGACCATTGGCAGAATGCTAAATTAGAAGCAGAGATGCTGGGACATGAACCCAATGCAGTTGGGCATTGCTGGTTGGCAGCTTTTCCCACTATGCCACTCCATCCCTTAAGTTTGCTGATACAAAGTTTATGTATACGTGCCGTTGGTTTAATTTCTTTTAATTTCCTTATTATGTTTGAGTATTAACTGTACTGCTTAGTGACTATTGGATCTCTTACTAAAGTCAAATTTGTTTTGTGCTGTGTTATAAACAAAACTTTGAGACCTGGTAACTCATCTGTTATTGGGTTTATAAGTAATTTGGCTCCACAGAAATAATTTCATGTATGCATTTTTGTTCAAATGAACATATACACAAACAAAACTTCTTTGAAAATTTACTTGCTATATAATACCAATTTTTGAAGTTTTCATTATTATATTTTTTTTCCCACAGTCCGTGGTGGATGACTGGATTGAATCATATAAACAAGACAGGGACATCGCACTTCTGGATTTAATCAACTTTTTTATCCAGTGTTCAGGATGTCGAGGTACAGAATATTAGAATAAATGATGAACATTGAATCTGTTGGTCCAGCCGTTTGACTTTCACTCCCCTGTCATTAGTTACCTACATAATCGATGCTAGAACTATGTGCTGAAATTTTTTGATAAACAAGATGGAAAATGATTTAAAGTTTTCTATTTTTGTCCAGTTCATTTTTACTTTTATAAGGTAATATGTTATACAATCACCTATATTTTATATTTTAAGTTCTTGGAATTTGAAATTTATTCAATAGCTTATTAATGAAATATTTTTTTAGAGTGTGAGTTCTGTGCACTTTGCTCATTTTATTTGTACATTTACTCCACATTAGAAAGTGTTAGCATCTGTTACTTTTCTGTATTTGATGGTAGAATTTTGTTCCTCAATGTAATAGTAAATGTTTGAAATTCAAATGATTTGCTAAAGGTTGCAGACATCAGAATTGTGTATATCAATTTTTTTATCAGATCATTAAGATAATCGCCTAATGTAAAATGAAAATTTTATCATTTTCATAGATAACTTTTATATAGTGTATTCCTATTAGTAAATAAATCTAAACAGGCCAGATTGTAGTGCATGTGGGAATCAATAAGTCGTCATTGTCTCCTTTCAGTACGCAGACAATAGTGGTCTTTAGGTCAAATAGATTTTTGTTTGTTCATGTCACAGTACTCACTGAACCTTATTGACGAGGTAGTTTATAGATACTTGGAGAATGCTTGTTTTGAACCATACCCTGTACCTTCATATGCAGAGATGATCAAACAGCCTGCTTCTATAGGATATGAAGTTCTGTGTTTTTTTAAAATTTATTTAAAAGGCAAAGAGACAGAGGTCTTCTGTTCACTGACTCCCTCAGCAGGTGCTTGCCAGCAGTGAAGCCCAAGCCCAACAACCCATAGTGAGTTGTGCCAAGGACTCCAGCACTTGAGCCCTCTCCTCCTGTGCTAGCGGAGGCATTAGTGGCTAACTGGATCAGTAGTAAAGGAGTCGATCCTTGGACACAGGCCTTGCAGTGTGGCTGTGGACATCCTAAGCCATGCACTAACCACTGTGCCAAACACCTGTCCCCAAATGAGTGTAATTTGTAAAAGAATTTTCATTTCAAGATTTATAGCTGGAAATACACAAATACTTCATTGAGCTGCTCAGTGCCACGAAGGAGCTCAAGATCTACTCCTCCTTCTCTGTGTCTGTGTGTGTGAAAGTGCACAGATACTTTAAAAACATCATTTTCAAGAAAGCTGACTGAAAGATTCAATGAGTAAAAGGGACTTGGAAGACAAAAGCAAACCTGTCATACATTGTGCAGCTAGATTGCTCAATTAAAGAGAGTTCTGTGGCTGAGCTCTTGCTCTGTAATTTTGTATGTCTTACTCTTTATGGAACAGTGTATGCGGGTAAACATATTTATGGTTCCCGCATACTCCTAGATCCCATCCCTTTCGTCAACAGTGTTTTTAAAATGTCTTTGTTTCAACAAAGTATATCACATTTTTTGCTTTGTCCTAGAATTTTTAAAAGATTTGTTTATGTATTTGAATGTCAGAGAGAAAGTGATCTTCCATCCACTCTTCCCTGCCCAGGTGGCTGCAGTGGCCAGGAGATAGAGATCTCCTGAGTGCATGCAGGGGCACAGGAGCTTCAACCATGTTCTGCTGCTTTCCCCAGGTCACCCTTGGAGCTGGATGGGAAGTGGAGCAGCAGGAACATGAACTGGGTCCATATGGGATGCTGGCATTGAAGGCTTTAACTATTACATCGAAACACTGACCCAGATCTGTTTATCTAAGCATCAAAAAGAGATACAGAAATGATCAACTAGGGAATGATAAAGTGGAAAGTGCTGAGATTTGGTGTGTGTGTGTGTTTCCATGTTAATGGATTGCATAGTTTAAAGGGAATTGAATTAGGAATGAGATTCTTTTTTGCAGTGGAAATGATTCTTAATGTAAATATATTATATGAATATGTCTATTAGAGCTGTCTTAATATTTTATGTATTCAAAAAAGAATCAACGAAGATTAGGAGGCATCCTTAAATTGGCTAAAAACACAATACAGGAACATACCATTGAATATCACAGATACTAACCACAGTTATAAAGCGGTAACCAGGGTAATGACTAAGTTCAGTGCTTGGACTGCAAAGCTAGAGGGAGAAAACTTGACGAAGAACACAGTGTTTGTTTCCTAGTGCCTACAAGATGTGCTTATTTACATTGGGTAAAATTAAAATAGAAACTTTAAGTTTTAGAAGCTTTGTAGACACTACCTTAATCAAATTATGAAAGTAAACATTGTGAGTTATGGAACTAATTATCAGCATGTACTTCCTGACAAATTTTTACAAGAACCCAATATTGCTTCTGTAACATTTTGACCAAAATTACAATCTGAATCTACTCATGAGCAACCATCAGATGAGCTCAAATTTCAAATATCTTCTCCCAAATGACATTTGTGTATTCTTCCAAAACTTCACTATTGTGAGATACTAAGAAATTATTTGTAAACTGGTCCATTTTAAAGGAGACTCAAGATACATGTCAGTTGAAATCAGTGCATGACGTTAAACTACTTGTGAAAATAATAGAGATTATTGAAGTAAGTCTAAGACTATGGCTTGCTTCCTTGCAGTAGAATGTCTTAGTATAATTGTTAATTTCATTATTCTGATAATTGAACAGAGGTTATATGAGAGATTGCTTTCTTTCAGGAAAAGCAAACATTCAAGATGAACCAGTAGATGACTGTCGAGTCTGCACCTGGCTTTGTTTGAAAGACAGAGACATGAAGGAGAAATTTTCTGACTTCTCATTCATTTTCCAAATGTCCAGAGCTGCCATGGCCAGGTCATGTTGAAGCAGGAACCTTCCGAATCAGTTCAGGTTTCCGCCCTGGCTGGCAGGCACCCACATAGTTTCCCTTCACTAGTGCTCAGACTTGTGCCACCTGATCCCAATATGCATAAGTAGGAGACTTGAAACCAGCAGAACCAGGACTCAAAATTCAGGCACTCCAGTATGTGTACTAATGTCCAAGCAAGATTTATAACATATTTTCTCCCTGCAGCTGACACTTAAGTTACTTAGGAAAATAATGTTTCTGGGAGAGATAAAGAGGGATGAAAATACCCACTGTTAACACTTGGAGCACGTGAGTGGAGGGTGTTCAGAAACTGCTAAGTATTTAATAGGGGAGGGTGACAGAGAGATCGATCTTCCATCTCTTGGCTTATTCCCCACATAACCTTAATGGCCAGGCCAACGTCAGGAGCCGGGAGGTTGCAGGAGCCCAAAGGCTTGGACTGTATTCCCTTGCATTTCCTGTTCAGGAACAGGGGAGCAGGATCAGGAGTGGAGCAGCCAGGACAAAGAGCCGCACCCATGTGTATCTGTATATAATACAGCCTCTCCCAACTCTGTGTCTAGCAAAATGGAGATAAAACAGCACACTTAGACCACAATATTAAATAACAATACAATATTTGGACATACTGAATGTTAGAAAACTGAAGATCAGTGTGCAAAACCAATGTAAGAAATAAGATAATTCACTAATGTATTGGTATAGAAAAGAAAAATGGAAAAATGGTTCTTCATTGTGTATTAGAATGGTTAGTTAGAAGACACAATTGAATAAAAGATTTCCTTTTTAAGGCATAAATATGAGACAACAGAATAATTTCTTTCATATCCATGCCTTGCTGTGATAGTATAGAGCAGAATAAATTTCCAGTGCAGTCAGTGTTATGTTTGGGATGCGTGTTTGGTGATGCACTTACAATGCTGCTTAGTATACCTGGATACCTCAGCAATGGAATAAGTCTGAGTGCCGACCCTGGATCCGGTGTTAACTTTCTATTCTGGGAAGTAGCAAACGAGAGCTGAAGAACTTGGATCACCATGTGCCAAATCTGAACTGAATTCCAGGTTCTTGATTTAGCTTGGCCCAACCTTGGCTTTCGGGGGTATTTGGAAAATGAACCAACAGATAGGATCTTTCTTTTTCTCTCCACCCCACTTCATATTAAAAAATGGTTTTTAATGTACAGAAACAGATAAATAATAAAACCTCAAAACAATATCCAAGATTTACAGTGTAACCTTGGAATCAGGAATAAATTTTTATTAACTGATGAAAATTATGTGTTACTAAAAATATGTTTATTATCATAAAGATGATTTCACATAGGGAAAACAACTTTCAAGTAAAATTTTGTGGGATAAGATTCCAAAAGCACAGCCACAAAAACAAAATAGGTGGGATTACAGGGCCCGGTGCCGTGGCCTTGCAGCTAAAATCCTCGCCTTGAACACACTGGGATCCCATATGGGCGCCGGTTCTAATCCTGGCAGCTCCACTTTCCATCCAGCTCCCTGCTTGTGGCCTGGGAAAGCAGTCGAGGATGACCCAAAGCCTTGGGACCCTGCACCTGTGTGGGAGACCCGGAAGAGGCTCCTGGCTTTGGATCGGCATAGCATCGGCCGTTGTGCTCACTTGGGGGGTGAATCATTGGATGGAAGATCTTCTCTGTCTCTCCTCCTCTCTGTATATCTGACTTTCCAATGAATAAATAAATCTTAAAAAATAAATGGGATTATGCCACACTAAGACTTTTCAGTGCAGCAAAGATAATTGGCAAAGTAAAGACGTAACTGCCTAAAAAAGGAAGAGAAAGTGTTGCAAATTATCTGTGCAACATTTTTCCTCCTTTTTTAGCCAGAAACAAGGTATTAATATTCAGAATATACAAGAAACAACACAATAGTGAAAGCTTGGTTTGAAAAAATACCAATGACTATAAAAGACAATTTTTTTTAAAGATTTATTTAATTTTATTGGAAAGTCAGATATATAAAGGAGAGACAGAGAGGAAAGATCTTCTGTTCGATGATTCTTTCCCAAGTGACCGCAACAGCCAGAGCTATACCAATCCGGAGCCAGGAGCTCTTCCAGGTCTCCCAGTTGGGTGCAGGGTCCCAAGGCCTTTTG